GACATGTTGTCAGGAAGTTGCTTTCATCTTATCTCTTAGCTCTTGTTCCACTGTAAAACAATTCACACCAGAGTTTTCCTTCTTCTCTCAAAACAACTATTGCCATACAGACGGTGCACAGCACATTGGTGATTCTACTGGTGGTGATGTGGCTAGAGGTTGCAAAATACGCATTTCCTGTTGGTTATTTAAGTCTGCTTTGAGCATGCCCCCCCCACCCCACCCAGGGCATTCACTGGGCATTGACTCCTTGACCATTTTGTCTTTATTTTTAATGGAGAAGGGTTGGAAAGGAGCTGTGGTGGCACAGTGGTTAGAATGCAGCATTGCAGGCTAATTCAGCTCACTGCCAGTTTGATCCTCACTAGCTCAAGGTTGACTCAGACTTCCATCCATCTGAGGTCAGTAAAATGAGGATCTAGATGTTGGGAGCAACATGCTGACTCTGCAAACCACTTAGAGAGTTCTGTAAAGCATTATGAAGCGGTATATGTTTAAGTGCTATTGTTATATGGGAATATCGATCTCACAGATAATTGAATGTGGATCTTCTACAAAATCAATATTCCTGGTTTTCTAAACCATTTAATCTGTATTTAAGCTTCATGACATATTCTGCAGTATATTGGAGTATGATACCTTATACAGAATCATTTGCCATCCAAGTTCCCCCTACATGTTTCAGATGAAGAAGAAGCACAAATAAAAAAAATACAGATGCCCACATCTGGCATAGCACATGAAAGGATAATTGGGAGAGAGAAAAGTTATTTTGTTCTCCTTCAAAGAGAAAAACTGATGCCAGGCTTAATTATTGGAGGTGGGGGGCGGGTGTATATTCTGGATGACTAATTTTCTCCATACACCTAAATTCCTTGGTTACTGTCCAGGCAGCATCCTTGCAAACCTTGGGCACAACACTTGACAAAATAATTGCTGAATTGTAACTGCAAATCATGCCTCAAGTATTGGCAGCTCTCCTTTTCTTGCTTTGATATCTATGGTATTACCACCATTCCACACAACTCAGAGACACGCTTTAGCATCAAGGCTTATGACTCCTTTTTATTATAGTGCTGTATTTCTCCTGGGATTATCTACTTTCAGTCTTTATTTGGTGACCAAGTTGTACATGTTCTCTATACTTCCTGTGTGGATCATGTGTTCTTCTATACATTCCTCCTGTCTCATCATATCACAATTTATGCCTGTAGCAAGGCAAAATGCTACTTTTGAAATCCGGTGACTCTTAATTTGGAACCCCATGAATGATAGGAATGGAATGGTAGGAATGAAAGGATTTTAGTGTAGTTCTCTCTCAAAGGTCAAATTTCTAATTAACTTCAGTACTCACACATATCCCTGAAAGGGAAGTCAGTGCCAGGAATCAATGAGTGACGGTTTGTGGAAAGGCTCCAAAAGGAATGAAAGGAAGAAAAAACAATCAATAGACAACAGGTAAAACAGTTGACATCTTATCTTATAAACGGCCACCTAGCCCAGGTGGAGAGAAAGTATTTCAGATCTTTCAAAGAGGCTCCGCCTTAACGAACTGCCTTTAAATGAAGGTTAGAAATTCCTTTTGTAGTTTCCAAGACATGCATTAACCGCAGGCTAATATTAAAGTGAAATACATGTCATTCTTGATATCTTGATCTTGCCCAACTATGTAGGACTTGATGCAAGGAGAGTGTAGGAGTCTGAATGCTTTCTCCATACTTGTCATATGTTTTCCTTTTATACCGTTGGCTTTTAGAAACAGAAAAAAAAGAGAAGGAGGGGAATCTATTGTGAAGATCATTTCAAAGAGAAATACTGATTTCTTGATCTTCCATATCTTTCCTGAGATTGAAAGATCAATATTCCCATGGCTTAAACTTCTTAAAAGATTGTGATTGTTGCAATTGGGAAAGAGATTGATAAAATAATCAGGGAAATAGTTCCTCCGTTCTAAAGTTGAAAGACATATTCCAAAGAATGTCAGAGACAACATACTAAAAGGAAGAGGAGTTTGACAGTAGAACAGTTATCTGGGAGGTGAGCGGGGCAGTAGATCCCTCCAGTGAATGTGTTTAAGTGGAGGCTAGAGAGCCACCCGCAGCTGTTTCCCAGCCAGAAGCAATGGAAGGAAACAAATACTTTACTCTGCAGTGAACAGGATTTCTATTCTGGGAATCAAAGGCTCAAGCAAGCAGCCAGAGGAGGACTCTTCTTGCTGAAGAAATGGCAACTGACTGCAGGTTCGTGAAAACAGGAGAACTTTCATTGGGGAAGTAGGAAGCCATCTTGAGTTCTTCAGAGTCTTTTGCTTTGCTTATTAATGGGAATATCAACCTCCTGGCAGACCTGAGGCCAATTTTCCATACATAGGATTGAAGGAGGAGGAGATTGTCCCTAGTGTGCTAGTCCCACACTGGTAGCCAAGTGGTCTACTCTTGAACTAGAGCATTGTACTGGTTCTTGGGTAAAAAGACTTATTATTTAAAATCTATTACCAATCTCCTAAAAGATCCAGCAGATCTTTTACCCATAAGCCTCTGCTCCAGTTCTCAAGAGGGCAGGCAGAGGGCACATATATCTCACCCTTATTTACGGCAGCGCCAACTGAAGTCGATGCCATTGTGGGAGTTGGTACCCAATCCCTGCTGTTGTCCACCTCCCCCCGCCAGCCTATCTTGGCAGATGCTCAAAAATACATCCCACACCCTTGGCCAACTGCCTCCAACCACTTCCTCCTTGCAGGTGCTCCAATCTCAGGAGGGTGCGGTGGTTTGTGGTTCTCAAACTAGCTCTTGGGAGAGGGTGGGGTCTCTGAATAAACAGGAACTAAGAACAGAGCCAACTCTGAGAAAAAAAAAATCTTAGTAAACAGAACCACATTTCCTTGGCCAGAAAATTGGCTCAAGTGTGGACATAACTTGGGAGTCCACAATTTGGAATGGCTATTGCCATTACCACCACTTTCTCCTAGTGCCTATTTTTAAAGGAAGACTATATTCTTTTACTGGCCATCTGTCTATAATGTACTTATGCCCAAATACAATTCAACTGAGAGTGTATTTTTGCCACCAGCAGGGAGATGCAATGCTAGGATAGCTTTGCATATTATAGAACTTCTGCAACTATTAAAAGCATAATACATGGTTGTATTACAAAATGAAAGAGAAGAATATTGAACTGGGATAAGCAACATTCCCACTTCTTTCAACGCATACCCAGAGTGAGTCATGTCCAAATTCAATACCTATACTGAAGACTACACTTATAGCTTTTGTGCTCCAGGTAATAAACTCCAGGTAATAAACAGTTAGATATATTACATTTGTTGATCAGAATTCACATCAGTCAGGATTGCTGTAATAACCTTGGAGGAAAATTACAACATTAATTTGTTATAAAGTTTGTTGATTAATGCATCTCCGGGTGTCTTGGATATGATATCATTTACAATTTTGAAGGCATGCTGTGAGTTTGGGAGATAAGTTCACAAGTATTTAACTTTGTCTTTGGCAAAAAGTTAGCTGAAGGAGGGCATCATGTTGGAAAGTAGTATGGGGGTTTATAATTCAATACACAGAGGGCATCAAGTTGAAAAAAGCTGCATTAATCAGTTTAAAAACATATTTATATATATATATATATATATATATTTTCAAGGAAAATATTGTCAATTTTTAAGCATGTTTTTAAAATTTGTAAGTAATTTGTAATACAAGTTCTTGAAAAATACGATAGCTGAGAAACTGGTTCAGCTCCATTAGATATCAGGATATATCTAATAAACATGCAAAACACAGAGATGTGTGCCTGTGCATATGTAAACTATTAATTGGACTAAAAGAGAGATGCATAACCTTAAGGAACACATATCGAAAAATCTTGAACAAGATCCCTAGAGATCCCCCAAAGTGGTATTTGAAATTGTAATTTTAAGTGTGAAGGATAAAGAGAATTTAAAAAATATACGTTGTGGTATTCATGTCTCAATTTTTCTCTGAGAGTTCGGAATGAATTTTATGGAGGGCCTTTCCTCACCTTACCCTTATAACAAAAAAGTCCTGCCATGTCAAATTAAACCTAATTCAAAGTTATCAATATAAAATTAATATATTTAATTAAATGTAAATATCGGTATTAACATCATTTTTTCACTTTTTATCCTATTCTTACTATTTTCAGAGTATGGCACTTAACCAGTCACTTAAGGCCTTGAACATCATTTGATCCAGAAAAAAAAATAATACAATGCTCATCAAAACATATTATGCTTTTCCCATAAATAATGCTTCAGACATCCTTCCACCCACCCCACTTCATTGGAGATGTCTATTTTACAGATGAGAATCAGAAGGAAACAGCCCAACCCCTTATCCAGTGGAAAGGTCCTCACTGCTGATGAGAGGATAATTTCTAATGCAAGGAAGACATTTCACAAATGTTTTTAACCTTCCCATCCCATATGCTACCAAAAAGATTGTTACATTGCTTGCAGTTCATAAAGGAGTTAATCTGTAGAGTTCTTTCTATTTTTTTAAAAAATCAGACATGGAAGTTTAATATATAAAGATGAAGAAAATTATTCCACTTGTCCCTCTAATATTAGACTCCCGACTCTCAGAGGCCAGTGTGAGTTAATGACTAATAATGCCTGGAGGCCCCTTGGGTTGCCAAACCTGCACCCTACTTCAGAATTTCATAGCGAGATAGCAGTGGATTTTTCCTCTTATTCTTGTTGCATCTAATCTCAGATGTGAGCTCATCAGATCCTTGTATAAGGTGGACTAGCCTTAACACTTAAACCCAGGAAAAATATTTGAGTTCTGTATCTCCCTTCCTTCATCCCCTAGTCCTGCATTCTTCATCCTGAATACAAGCCCACTGTCTTTGCATAAATTCATAGCTTTTTTCTTGCCTCATTTATTCTCGTTTTCTGTTATTAAAAAAAAAAAAATCTGGAGCAGATTACAATTGCTCAGCCCTTCAAGAAATGCACAGAAGTTTACTGTGTCTTGAATCAACAACAATCTTCATGTGGTTTAGAGCCCAAAGACACACAGCTCTCTCTGTTGATCAGCACCCCAAACCACAGGCTTTACTAAAAGCAAGACAGACCAAGGTGGGAGATGTTTGCTGAGCAAAAGGTAATACAATAGAAAGCATTCTTGATAAACTGATACACGAGGCACTGAAAAAAGCTGAAAGAGCAAGAGACAGCTTTAACACTAACTTATAACGGACAGGTTTTAAAATCTCCACCACAACATCCACTGCTAAGATCAAACTGAATGCACTTGCAGAAAAGTTAACATTGAGTTTTCCTTTGTTTACACAGCTTTAATAGATGTTTACTACATTTTTGCTTTGTAATAACACATTCTATCTCCCTCTAGTTTATCCTCTTATCTTTCCCACTCTACCTCATTACCCCAGTTCAACCATGTTGCTTAGAATTGGGATAATGTGACTGTATTGTTCACATGTGCATGCATACATGTGAACATACAACACATACACATTGAGTATTATGTACACAGGCCCTTTGTTAACACACACAAAACAGTTTGAACTTACAAGTAGTATGTGTGTTTGTGTAAGTGGTTAGAGGGAGGGGAGATATCCCAACCTCTGAGACCCATGTAAAATTCAACTAAATGAATTGCATGCAGAAGAGGAAAAATATGTGGGGCAGGGGAGATAGCAGAAACTAGGTTATGGAGAATAGGTTAAAGGGAAATTTTGTAAAAAAAAAACAAAAAACACTGAATATCACACATGAAGTAACAATAGTAACCTTTGCACCACTTAATTTTCTCACAGTGCTACAGGAGGGTTTTTAATCCCCACAATCCTTTGCAAAACTTGCCCAAAGTAGGAATGCTATGCTTTCCTGAAGATTTTTGCAATGGGTCAAAAGAGGATTGGTGCATACTTTCTTGTGCTTCCCACTGCATTCATCCCATCCTGTGATTCCCATATGAAAGGTGTGAATCAGAAGTCAGATAAATAAATATTAAGGAAGTAAATGAATGAAGGAATATCATTGCCACCTTTTCAAGCTTTTGCTAAGCATTACTGTCCAAGGTTTTATATTGTACCCACTTTCTTTTATTCATTATTCATTTCCTACTATTTGCAGCTATTCCTGCAAGGGGCCTTAGCTCTCTGCCCCTCTGCCTTCCTCCCAAAATCCTTTATGTTAGATTCCCCACAAAAATGTTCTCTTTCCTTTTCTTCCTGACTTTTTGTTGTTGTTGCTGTTCTGATTCTCACTGTTCTCACTGGGAGGCAAACAGGGTGTCTGCAAGGTCTGGTTTACAAAAAGTCAAGATGGAGTATGCAGCAGCATGATTGAAGCTTGGCCTCCATCTTGATTTCTTTGACCAGACCTTGCAGATATCATTGGAGCCAAATAAGAAGAGGGGGCACGTGGGATAGAATGCCAGCCGAACAAAGAAGGCAAAAGAGCAGCTGTAGATGCACACACAGATGTTGAAGAAGGCAAGAGACGCTTTAGAGCAGCGTTCTTCGAGCTTGGCAACTTCTAGAAGTGTGGAGCTCAACTCCCAGAATTCCCCATGCTGGCTGGGCAATTCTGCGAGCTGAACTCCACAGTTCTTAAAGTTGCCAAGGTTGAAATACTCTGCATTAGAACCAAGGCAGACGAGGTTGCCTAACTTAAAGACAGAAAGAGGGAAGGGCAGGGAAGCTCTCCCTGTGTGCTATCCCCTCCCTGAGAGTTTTTCACCATTCCTGTATTTCCCCATGCAAAGGAAAAGCCCTTTTCTCTCCATTAACCTTCCTTCCTTTTTGCTCGTTTGCTTTTTTTCCTCCACCACTTTTGTGCTCATTGCAGTCGCGGCCAATACTGGGCAAGATCAGAATCCCCACCTGGGACTTTTACAGGAACTGACACTCCTGGAGAGATCAACCCTAGAAAGAGAGACAAAGGGTCAGTGGGGGTTGGGGAGGGGCAATCCTGCCAGATTGTTACAGAGTGCAAAATTCTGAACCCAGGATTTTCAGTTCAGCGACTGTAGGAAACACAGCAAACTGTAGGAAATTGGGGACAAAAACTGAAACAAACTGAACAATCCTGTTACAATAATGTTCCCTGTTCACAGACTGCCAAGGCTATTTCAGATTCCTAAAAGAAGAGGTCTCTGAATGTAGAAAAGGCAGCAAAAAGGTTGCTTCTGTAAAGGCTAGAGACATGGCAGAGCCCCAGAGGCATTTCTGGAGCCCTGGAATAATGTGTGTTTGTTGTGGTTACTACCGTTGCATTCTTAACAATTATTTAAGAGAACGGGTGGACTGTTTGCATCAAAAAGGAGATGAAATAGACATTTTTAAGAGTCTCAGCTTTTGCAAAACAAATACAAGTAAAGAAGCAGGATTCCCACTTAGCTTTTAACACCCAGAGGAGCAGAAAATAATATCAAGATTAACATTAGACTAACAATCAAGAAGCAAAAAAATATCCCCAACAAGGAAATGCCAAACAAGCTAAAACAGTAAACAGCCCAACCAAAGAACCATCAAGGCCATTTCCATCAACACTGACAGGGCAAGCCACTAGAATATAAAAAGAGAGCAAATCCCATTCTTTACTAGCACTGATGATGCCACCAAGTTTGGATAATGAAACATCTGCAAGAAAACAACCAAGCTCAGAGGGCACCGAGCCCCCCCCCCCCCGCTTAATTTTCTTTCCTTCCCGTTTCCCTCCAAAGATGCTGTACTATTACTAGTATAATTTAGTAATAATGAGTTGAAAATGGATTGAATAATGAGTTGAAAACAATATGACACGGGCAATGCCTGTTGGGATGAAGTACTAGCAAATCTGTTTCTAAACATAATTTCTTTCTTTGTCCAATTTCTTTGGCAGACTTTGGCATAGCTTGTTCACTTCTTTTCTTTATTGTCTTTCTTGAGGCTGAAAATGGCCTTATGGCGTCTGTAAAGGAAGATTCTGACACCTAATGTGGTAGTTAAAATGATGCCCAATGAGTAAATATTGCCCTAAATGAAGGAAAAATGAAACTAGCACATCCAATTATTTTCCATGAGACTAGAAAGAAGCCTCTTCTATTTTGTTTTCAAAAATATTAAAAGAATTCCACACAAGTGGACATCTTCTACCTAGCACCGAGTAAGAATTCCTTTCCTTAGTCCCATATTCTTCACTTGTATTTGCCAGGGCCATTATGATTGCCTACTTCCTCCTGCCAAGTTTTCCTGCTTCAGTTCTGTTTTCTCCCATCCCAAGTGCTCTGCTTCCATCTCACCCTTTCCTAATTCCACTTCCCCTGCTACATTACCAGTAGAGGTCCCACTGCTGGAGTTCAGACTGTGGGAGGAGAGCTGGGACGGTGTGTATGAATCATAACTTCGCACTGATGGGCTGCCAGGGAGCATGCAGGAATAAGATGATGTCTGGCTGGCAACAGGGGGCACTGCCTGCTAATGGGTACCAGAGAATATGCAACAGAGAAAGAAAAAAGGATATTAATATCGGCCACCTGCAACCCACACTTGGCACCATTCAAGAATTCTGTTGTTCCTTTTAAGCTTACCTGGATAGGGAAGTTGTTGTTGGCCATGGAAAAGGGACCTAAAGGTGGGAGAGAACCATAGTTGTTGCTGAGGACACTTTCTGTGTGGCCCAGCATAGCACCTGAAAAGAAAGAAAAAGAGATTTGTGATAGAGAAGAGTGGTGCCCTCTAGGAAGCGAATTAAGAAATAGTCCAAGAAGTATTCGGTAGAATGAGGAAGTGTTTTTCTTAAAAACAGCTCAGTTGGCTCATCAATTTCTGCAATGAATGAATAACAGGCTTTACTGATCACAAACAGGCGACTTTTTAAATCCAGAACCTAAAGATATCTCATGGCACCAATGCTTCCAAATGGTACGTGATAATTTAATGAATTATGCTGCTTGGGAAGACCCCAGGAATAGATGGGGAATGAATGAATTTGTAGGGCCCTCACCTGACCCTATGGGCTGGGGCAGTGACTGGTAGATAGCACTGCTTACAGTGCCAAAAGTGCTGTTTACGATCAGGTGCCCCCCAGAGCCACCTGCTTGGCGCCTCTGGTTCCGCAGTTTCTCTTCCCGACGCCATTTAGCTCGACGGTTGGAGAACCAGACCTGGAAAAATTAAAAAGAGGAACTCTGTTGCCCAAGAGAACAAGGAGTGTAACGGTAGAAAGTCCCCGCCCTTTTGTTTCTTGTTAAATGGCTACAAGGTCACCTCATTTACCTGGATCCGGGCTTCGGGAAGATCAATTTTTGCAGCCAAGCGTTCACGGGCAAAGACATCAGGGTAGTGAGTGCGCTCAAATTCTGAAGATTTAAGGTACATCAAGTTAAGATATTAAAGACATAACCTCCACTTTACCAACACTTACAGATTTTAACAAAATATATTTTCAAGCACTCATACTCTATGTATCATATTAGAGGTACATACTTCCCTTATTGCTTTGATGTTTGGATTCAAAAGAACAGTTCTTTCATATGTGATCCTTCTCTCACTCTAGTTCTCCTTTAGTTACCAGCAGTAGAATATGTATTTAGAAAGATAATCTTTCTTCAATGTTGGATTATTACCTGGTCACTCCAGTGTCATACTTACATAGGAATTCAACAAGACAGCAAACATTATGTCCAGTGATATCCATTTATTATTCACAGCAGTCATCTTCTTTCCTTTTTGTTCTAAGAGCCATATGTTTAGAAACTCTAGTGTTAAAAATCATTGCAGTGTTTTTTTAAACTGGGCCAGCTTAACATGTGTGGACTTCAACACCCCACTTTGAAGAAATTCTAGGAGTTAAAGCTTACACATCTTCAAGTGGCCCAGTTGGAAAAACACAGATATAATGCATTCTATGCTTTTGGTACATATATGTATTTTGGTATAATGCGTGATTTTAAAATGTCATGTCTTATACTGCATGACCACCCCACAAAAAAGCAGCTTCATGCATAGCCTGCATACAGTTTATGACCACCAGATGGCCACGTATGTCTCTTCCTGTTCCCATTTGGTCTTTAAAATTGAATTATCAACTCTGGACTTTAAATAATCAGACATCCTTAATAGTAGATGAAGTTAAGTTAAGTAGATTAAGTTATTGTTACTTTTTTCTAATGTTAATATCTGGGTTTAGAAAAAAATAAATTATACCTCTCATAATTATTACACAGCAATATTCTAAGAAAGAGGTTAGAGGAAGTCAGTAAAATTATTATGCATAATCTAGTGCTCTCCAATTCTAAAACTGTGTATGATTTAAAAATGGCACAGCTTATAACACATGGCAAAAAATGCAGTTTCGTACGTAGGTTGCAATACTGTTTATGATTTCTGTATAGCATGACTGCCATCCTACAGAAAGGATTTCCAATACCTTTGGTTTTGCTCAGTCAATATGTAACGCATTCCTGTTTTTAGCAAAATCTTCAGTTTTATTTGCTGATAATTTCTAGATTAGAACTGGAAAAAAATTCCTACGTGAGCCACTGCCAGCCACAATTCGAATTTAGATGGATTTATAATTTGATGCAATAAATGGAAATTTCCTATTTCAGAGATCTTCAGGCAATGTTTCTCAACCTTGGGAATGTTAAACTATTTCCCATAATTTCTCAGCCAGCATGGGGAGCATTCCTACCTGACTGAAGAACTTTGGGAGTTGAAGTCCAAACATCTTAAATTTTCCAAGTTTGAGAAACATTATTTTCAGGCTTCACCTGTTAGTGGCTTCAAAAATACAACAGTTGTGCAACTGGTTCTCTTAAACTGTATGCCTGGGTTTGATGGGTTGTCTACATCTGTTATTAGGGCAACGAGTACCTGGAAAGACTAACTAACTCCTAAGCTCTTCATACATCTTTTATGAAAGGCCACATGCTAGCAAAGTTTTATGTTTTTGTTTGAATCTTCCCCTTAAGGCGATTGTGTAGATTAGAATGTAACAGGGTGCATCTAAATGCTGGTTATAAAAACACTGACATTCCCCACACTTGTCTCTCAACCTCCTGCTCAAATTACCTCAGGAAAGAAATTCCACCCAATCAGAGAACAATCTCTGCTTCCTCTCTGCTTTACCTTTTTCCAATGCCTCTATTTGCTCCTGTGTAAAAGAAGTTCTGTTTCTTTGCAATTTGCGCTTCAGCTGCAAATGGATTTGGGAGTCATCTAGGTCTTGGTTGCCACCACCTTGGGGGTGCTCAGAATCCAAGCTACTTTCCAGCTGCTGACAACTGTCTGAGAAGGTAGGATGGAAAACAATGGTCAGCATAGAGTTAATAACACTCTTCCCCAAACTGGTGCTCTTCAGATATGCTTGACAGTGACAGATAGATTGACTCTGGGATATGGGAGTTGTAGTCCTCCTATATGACCATAAATTCTCAAATGGCTTAGGAGCAGAGATGGAAGGAGAGACATCATTTCAATGCTGCTATTTTTTGTTATTCATTAGCTTTATATGTTGTCTTTCTTTATACGATTCAATGTGAAGTATAATGACTCTCTTTTTATTTGCTCCACAATAATACAGTCAGAGAGATTGGACGGAAAATGAGAGGTCCAAAATAACTTAGTTGGCTTTCCTGCCTAACCACTGCACCAAACTGTTTCTCCAAGCCCTCAGAAACTGATTTATGGTGATTATCACTATCACCAGTCTTTACAGGTAGTTCTTGACAACCATAATGGTTGTAAATCACAACAGTCATAAAGCAGGCCATCATGGAACTAGATGTAATTTTATGGCCTTTTTTGCAGCAATTGCTAAGTGAATGCCACAGTTGTTAAGGGAATCTATTGCTCACCATGGAGCTTTTTTTTGCTGCAAACTGGAGTAAATGCCGATTTTCGGCAAAAAGATTGACAATCACAATCACATGACTGCCAGATACTGCAAACAGCCATAAATGTGGGCTGGTTGCTGAATCCTAAAATGTGATCATGAGGTTGGCATCGGAACTTTAAACTGCCACTAACTGTCACCAATCATAAGCCGAGGACTACCTATAAATGTTGCATGAGCCAACCAGTGCTTCCTTCTGCTGACCAAGAAGAGGGCAAGAAAATCAGCATCAAACTGCCATAGCCTCCATCCCAATTGTGGGTCTGCTTTGTTTGACACCAGTATTATAGACAAAGTATAGAGGTTTAGATGCTCCCCAAGCACAGAAGAACTCTGGAGATTTGTATTCAGTGTGTTTGCTGCTGAACTGCAGTGTCATCCTAACTATTTTTAAAAATTGTGCTGATGTGAAGATAATTAATGTTCTTTGCCATTTTTTCCTATTCCAGGTTATTCCACTCTCCTGCATAGCAACTTGTTCCAATGTTGGACTGGGGCACCGTTAACCACCGTTGGCCAAGCTTCATGCATTGACCAGCTTGTACAATATCTGTGTGGAAGTGTCTTGTTTGTAGAATGCAAAGGGGAAAATGTAACCACAAGGTGCTGCAAAATTAGGAACCCCTTCATACTCCTTCCGTTTCCAACCACTACTTCTCTTTCCCAGGCTCCTCTTTCCTTTATAAGAGTTGGGTTCATTTGAGAAATATCCTACTCAACTCTTGTTCTTATCTAACTTATCAACTCAGACATGAAAGAAAATGGCATAATTTTGCTCCAACCAAGTGAGATTTTAGTGCAGAATGCAAAGCCTTGTAAAAAAAACAACAACACAGATATCTTCCTTGGTGTGTTTGAAATTTAAAAGAATGGTCTTTGGAAATTCTTTAGAGAAGCATCCACATTCAGGGTTGTTCAGCTCTCCATTAATTATTTGCATGGTCCAAGCCACAAATAATTAGACCAAGCCTCCATTTCAAATTCCCACAATGCTCTGCTTCTCAGTCAGAATCAATAGGTATAGCCATGAGTTGCTTTGAGTGTGAGGGAGTTTTACAGCATTATGGGGAATTAATGTGGTGGCTTGAGGCAGCCGCTCAGCGCTGCTTAGAGCACCACTGTTGCTGTCTTTTGTTTGTAATTAGAAAGATCAGGTACACAGAAAGAAGGTAGACACTTTTATTTGGGGCACATTTAAACAAGTGCAGGAAGGGGCAAGGGGAGACCAACTGAGAAAAGTAGCCATGCAGCGCAAGCACCAATCTTTTGGTATGTACCTACAATGTTACATGCACATTCAAACGAGGGTGAATTTTGCAGGGTGTTGATGTCATTCTATACAAAGATGTCCTTCAGCTGGTTCTCACACAGATAGGAAGCCTACTAGTCAATTTCCAAACCATCAGCAGATATAGGCTGACCCTCCTTCCTCAAAGAGTTAAGCTCTTTTACACAGAAAGGGGATCCCAGCCCCGCCCCCCAAAAAAAACCAAGCCAAAATTTTACCACCTTAAATTGCTTATGCAGATAATTCCTGACTTTGAAATATATGCACTGGAATTCTGTGCTATAGCTATAGCCTTCTTTCCAGCAAATATTACTAATCAGAATTCTGGAAACTTCTCTTCCAATAGTGTCCAGAAATCTGATATGGGGTCCCTGAACCTCATGTGATGTCTTGCTTTATCCTCTGATGGAAAAGTGACATTCTCCTCTGGCTTCTTAGCTTCCCTTACCCCAGGCCTTTCCTCTTCCTGTCTGGCTCTGTGGTGAGAGAACAGTTTATTAATAGTTTATAAAGAGTCACAGAATAATGTATGTTAAGAAATTGTTAATCCATGACTGCACACTCACAATAGAGATAGATTCTTCTATCTGGTTCTAATTCATTATGGTGGGGGCAGAATCATCCATGGCATACAAAATATACACGCACATTGACTCAAGACCAGAAGGGACAACAAATGGGAAGACATGAAAACAGTCTCGGTCTCTCTGGCAGAAAAGAGGTAGGAGAGGGTAAATGGAAGAAGATTTTATTTCCAGGATAGCGTGTAGGTTTGGTATATCTGGTGTGTATTGTGGGAATCTTGATCTCTCAGAGACAGGAAGTTTTCTTCCTGGTTGGCTCAAAATAGGGGCTGCAGGGAAACTGGTGATAGCTGCTTGAAGCCTTGGAGTCCATGAGAGAGAGATAATGGATGGGTGGCAACTGAGAGTTTGGGGGAACCCACAAGAGCTTAACCTTTTATCCAAGGGGAGCGCTATCCTGAGCAATGACCTTTCCGTGCTTCTGCGAAACCAAGCACTCAGATCTCCTCAGGCAATGCAAAGCCACTGCATCAGCCAGAGTGCCTTAATGTGAGATGACATGGCCTTCTCCCTCCCCCCTGATTCTTCTAACTGTTTGCAGTCCCTGCAGCAAAAAGACCCAAACTGCCTCGTTGGTGAAGAACATTTCTGCTTGGCCCTGGCCCAGATATAGGGCTGTCAGGGTCTGTCCTCACCACCCATGTCACTTCAACCAGTCTGCCTCTCTCCCTGCAACATTCTCCCATATCCCCCTCAGTTCTATTTTTTGCTGAGATATCTTTGCAAAATGCAAAGGGAGGAAATACGCTTGCATACACCCAAAGGGGAAATGGAGCAGGAGGGCTGGGGTGGTGAGATGAAGGAGAGAAGGGAAATGGGGGTGGGGGTGGGGAGAGAAGGTCTTGAATTGCGTCTGAAATCACCACAAATGGAGAAGTGGGGTGTATATTTTGGTAACCACAACAGTTATGGGTCTCTGTGGATGTGGGTCACATAGATGGAATCAAGGACATTAGTATAGAATGTGCACATGTATGACATAGCTTTCCCAACTTGTCAGTTTCCAAGTGTCTCGAGTAATTATTCTCTGGATCTGCAAGTTGTATTGGCTAGGGATTCTGAAACCTCTGTTCCAGGCTGCCTGAATGCTCCAGGTTAGACAAAACATCTGGAATTAGACCACATCCATAGGGACATCTACCCCAAGTTCCAGGTGGGCTGGATTGCGAATGGGCCTCCAAGCCAGATCACACAATATAGGCCATCATCAGGCGTGTTTTTTAAGATAATTGACTACTCTAGCTTTTTGGGACACAGGGATACTCAAGATGTGTGGTATGTGTTAGGGTTTTTGTCACCAACTACCTTGGAGGGGAACCAGGTAACTGATAATGTATGGAAACTAAGGTAAGAGAAGCAGGATAGGGATTGGCAATAGGACAGCAAAGTTCATGCTAGGTTTTTGTTTTTTGTTTTGCTGTGTCATGGAGGATAGAGAAGATATCAGCTCAGCTGTGGGGAAAGTCCCCAGTGAATGGGCAAAAAGCTTTTTATTAATTTTATTAGATATTCAGCTCAGCTGTTGAATGTTGCTGTTTGAGAAGAAGCAATACCATGTGACTCAACTGCCTGGTAGGCAACTAGGGTTATTGTGGTTTGAGGTGGGGTGGCAACACCATTTATGAACTGTCTCACCATGGAGTCGTGAGTAACTGGAGCAACCTATTGAAGTGGAAAAATTTTGGAATATCAGCATCAAGACTTTAACGCTAAGGTCCATGCTTGCCTTTAAGTAGGGGTATTAAACTCAATGCCTAGGGATCGGATCTGGTATGTGAGGTGCTTAGATGTGGCCCACAGGGCCGCCCTGGAAACAGTGAAGGACCAGTCCGCAGTGGCTCCACCAGTGCAAACAGAACTTGCAAGGGTTGTGCACGGCCCTCCCGAGTTCTGTTTTCACTGGCAGAGGGATGCAGGACACCTTTGCAGCCAAAAATAGAGCTCAGGAGCCTGTTTTTGCTGGCAGAGCACTCGGGCCACCAAAGACACACACACCCCGGACACAAGTAATGTCATGCTGGCCACACTCACCCTGCCCCCCCCCCCGAGGTCAAACACAATCTTGATGCAGCCCTCAATGAAGTCAAGTTTGACATCTTTGCCTTAAAGCAGTCCCATAGTCGGCCCACCAGTTTCCCTAGGGATTACTCAAGAGATTATTATTAGGTGGGGGGGGGGGGGGAGATTATGGGTTTTATGTTGCAGAATTTTATTGTTGTAAGCCACCCAGAGTCACCATGGGAGGGCTGGATGGCCATATAAGTGTCTTTAATAAATAAGTTACTTATTTATTAAATCAGAAAAAAATGTTTTATATTTCATAAAGATAGGTAAGATTCTTTCAGAACACAAAAAGGTCTTTTTGAATCTCAATAGAGATGATGAAAAAGTGGAGTGCAAAGAACTGTTTCTACTGGAATGAGTATAAGAGGGACCAAAAATGTCAAGGCCCCATAACCACATGATAAAAACCCCACCCGTTTTACATGTGCAAAAAATGATAGAACCTCAATGGCCTGATCATGACTGCCATCTTGAATTTTCTGACTCCTTCAATAGGAGCCCAAGGCTCAGTTCTAGTAGACATATTAACTTATGCAGAAGGATCCCACTACCCTTCTTATCTTACAATGTGTGCTAATGCCCTTAGCTTTGATTTTGAAGTCAGCAACCAAGGCTGTAAAAAAATGCTGAAGGAGGATGAGAAAGTCTAGTCTTCCATCCAAAGTCACTACCTAGAAATAAATGCTCAAGAGGGATGAGAAAGTTCAGTGGCCCTGCATGCTCAGCTGTCTCTTGCAATGAGAATTAGCAATACACTTTACTGAAAAGTGAGCTCTGAGGAATTCTTAAGAACCAAATAACAAAAGGGTGGATAGGTGAGATACATATAGGTTACCTCATCCATTGGATAATTAGCCTATGTTATTCTAATTGAAAGTAATTTGAGGTAATTATTTAAGGTTTGCAATATAAGAAAATAAAATGAGTAATTCATGGGTGCTCCAGGACATCTTTAAGCCAGTCATAAAAACATCCATTCTCCATTTTTATCCTTCCCGATTGTCTTCAGAAACGAGAATTCAATGGCACATCACCTTTGAAATTCCATTTTAGCATTAAGATTTGCTTTTAATTTGTGATAACCTCTGGATATTGTGGTGTGGTTCACCAGCGTGTTCAAGAGTACATAGGAAGTGATGCCAAGAAGTGTAGATCTTCAATTTTAGCAGGTACAAAAGCCATGCTACCTCAAACCAAATATCTGCCCAATCTCATTGGTTATTTCACATGTTAGTCAAGCAAGGCGTAAAGTACTCCCTTCCTACTCATGCTTTGGTAAGCTTGGCTTAGAACAGTGAGAAGCCGCATGTGTCATAATATCCCATAGCCATCTCCAGCCCCATTTTTGGATAAGAAGCAAAGACTCTGCAAATCACATGCTTCGGAATTCAAAGCGCTTCTTATCTTATTTGCTCCATCAAACACTTCTTCTAAGGAGTTTGCCCAAAATGTGAACCAAGATTTCTCTGAGTTCTTTCCTTAGTTGACGGAACAGTCAGTTAATAATTAGACAGATATGTCTATGATACTGAATAAAAAAGGGTGGGGGCATTTCCAGCACTGATACTTGAGATGATTTGGAGGTCTGGACAAATTCCCTTTAGAAGCTTACTTGATAAAAAGGAAGGAAGTTGGCGAAAGCACCAGAGCATCAGATGGCAACGCAAGCTACCACTTTCATTTCTGCTATGCCTTTGATTGACTCTCCGTTAGGGTATTGTGGGCAATTTAAATTGTGACTCAAAATAGACTGCTGCTGACTTGAGTCATGAGTTTTCAGTGGTGCATACCAAGGCATTTTTGTGTCCTGGTGAATACCAAAGGAGACCAAGAAGTGGTCCTGGAGGTGAAACAAGTAACTTGATTTAGTTGGGGAAAGCTGTGAACTGATCTTGCCCCTCTCTTTATCTTTGCTGGAGAAGGTGGTTAATGAAGAAATGTTTGCAGAGAATTCAAAAAGGCTGGAAGACTTCCAGGCTGGATAGGCTATATTTAATATCTACTACCTATAATGAAGCCCAGAATTGACTATTTGGAAGCTAAAAGAAGACATAAAACACAGGAAAAGCAATAGAAAAAAATCCTTTCTGCTTTGCTGCCAACCCCTGCTTTTCCAGACTCAGCTGGACACATTGAACGATCTAACTCCTAAGAAAATCACAGGAAAGGGGAAAACATATCTTGAATATGTTTCCCTGTACACATATAAACATATTCAGGGGGATTTCATACCAGGATTGAGTTGTCCTGTCACCAAACTGTCTTGGTACCACTCCTGACGACTACTCCATGTGCTGTTTTGTATATTCAGCATTCTGTTCTTCTCATACATGCCATCCACCCCCATGGAAGGGGGCTGAAGATCAGAGGGGTAGGAAGAAGGCTTGGTGGAGTCAATACAAGTCCCCCACCTGGGGGGTTGCAAGCTGCAGTTGCTCACCTTGCCTCGGATAAACCTGTAAGAAGGAAGGAAGGAAGGAAGGAAGGAAGGAAGGAAGGAAGGAAGGAAGGAAGGAAGGA